TCAGTGAAACCAGCACTTAATCAAGCAATAAGAAAGCTCTACAGGACAAAGGTCAGGTACCTACAGCATATTTGTCTAACAGAACAGCTACCCCTATAATAAAGCCAAAGTAGGCTTCCTTAGTCCTTACGGTGTCTCTGAGACAAACTCTGACCGTATTTAAACTGGCAAAAACAAAATTACTTATAAGGCTGAACAGTTGAACGCCACCCATGCCACTGAACATTAAGAGGCATCATAGGTGGGCAAACGGCTGCCTGTTGGCTGTTTCTTTTAAAACCTTTGTGTGATAAAAGAGAGGCATGGAAGAGCAGTAAAGGTTAAAATGAGACACTATACCACCCTCATACAGTGAATGTCTAGTCAAAGGCTGTATGAGTGCTCACTATTTGTAAAAATTCAGCTGAAGTTTCCTGATCAAACAGCAGAAAACTCACAGCAAGTCTGTATCACAGGAAAAAAAGGCAGAATTCCCAGCCTCTGTGCACCAGTAACTTAGGATGTATCTCTTTTCTATAAAAAGCTGCACTGTTGACAAACTGGAATGTATTTTTCAGAAAATGAAATGACTTCCATCGTCAAAAGTATTCCTGATGAGCAATGGAGATCAATTACTTGTGTGTATGAGTCTGGTGATGCTTACCTCCAGTGCCATTTGGTTTTCAGACCAACTTTTTTTATCCCCTATATAAAGTTTCACAAACAGGGAGGCCTTGCAGACACACTAACACACGTCCCTCACACACCACCAGCCTGGCTCCTGCTCAGCCTCCCCGTCCCGTTCTGAACCTCAGTACCGCTTCAAAACCTGCCAGAAAAGAGTCAGCTACAGGAAACCCACTCTGCTAAAAAGAGTATTTTGTAACACACTTGCCAGTTTTGTTTTGCTGGAATTTAAACAGCAAGAGAATGGCATTTGCTAGAAGTATATAATTCCCCATACAGTTACAGGATGCAGCCATGATGAGTAAAGAGGGTAATGTTTTGAGTCAGTACTCTTTGGGACAAAACTTTTTTACAGCATGGCTGTTGTAGGCGTAGCTGGGAAGGCAGGTAAAGGAAGATGGTAGAACAGGTTTCTATAGAAACTAATAACCTATGTACTTCCTTCCAAATACCCTGCAGATTATTTAACCTATCCAAGACTTCTTGACCTACCTACATTTCATCAGCACAGTTACATAATTAATTTAATCGCCCATTAATTTGTCCTGAGGTACGGTAGTAATGAGTAGCTGCCAAAATTTGCTTTGTATCAGCACTTAAAAGCCATAATTTGGTTAGCAATGTATTGCCTCTGAAGTTTTCTTTGTTCTAGTTCTTAACCATTCCCTCTACTTTACAAAACACTTCAAATTAATTCAGGTACTATGCTTCATTTCACTGCCTGGAAAACCTGTCAGCTCACTGAAATACTCTCCATTGAGACCGGCCGCGAAAAAGAGACCCCTAATATATCAGCTTTGGATTTTCTTCCCTAGTTTAGAACAGAAAGCATTTTCACTCGCCCATTATTTTTGTCCCTCAAAATCCGTGTCTTTTGACTACTAATCGTCAGCATTGAATGTTCCTTGCCGATGCTTTCTAAAGAACACCAGGGTAAAAATAACACATCTGGACAAATTGGGTAGTTCTGTAAGAGAAGCTAAAACCTCTTGATCTCCCCATACTCTTCCCTCCAGTTCCATCATAACATTACAGACTTTTGAGCTCAAGATGAATATGTAGTAGTTTCAAACATGGCTTTTCTAGGAGTGTAGAAAATTTTATTTCCTATCAGAAAAACTAGTAAAAGTCAAAGCCACTAAAAGAAGATCATGATCAGGTCAGATGCACATGAACTGCAAGGACATTAGCCAGACCTTCTTCATCTAGAATCCACTTATACAGCTGCTAAACCCAAGATTATCCACTTTGGCTCTATCAGACAGTTTTTAAATGCTTACCAGAAATATGAATTACACTCCTTTTTTCCCCTTGTTTAAAAAACACAGATAATTTAGTACCTAATCCATGAATAATTTATTATAAGAGAAATATTAGAACAATTTCACTAAAAATTAAAATCATTCCAAATTAATAATGAAATATAAACATTTTCAAAAATAACATCTCTCATAGCAAATGGTTTTTATACAAAAAGATAATAAGTTACTGCTTAACATGACAGACTTCCTGTACACCATGAAAACAAGCATTAATGTTTTCTGACATTGTAAGAAAATAACATTATTTTCCTAGTAGATGTTATTTATGTATAAAAGCAGACACACAGGTCCAGTAGAAAATACAGAATTTTTGCTTGGTATAAGTTAATTGACTGCCAGGAGTTGGTATAAAAACAGCCCAGACTTGGTAGAAACAAAGTCCAGACCCTTCTCAAAGAAAGTATTACTACATATCTTAAAAAAATGCCAACACTCACCCATTCAAGAATAGGACTGGTTGCTTTTTTGTACAGATAACCCATTTGGTCACACCACGGTGATGACTGTATAAGCAAACAGACGGGACACCAGCTATGCAAAAGGATCTCTCTTTTTAGGGTCAAACCATATTTTCTTCAGTTATTCCTGAAGTTGCATGAGTGAAAAGCAATGCAAGTTTTTGTTAAAAGGCAAACTGTAAAGAAAACTCCATCTTTAGTCTTTTTATTATTTGTATTATCTAACTATAAAGATTTTGTAGTTTGAATCTAGCCGATAAAGCCAAAGTATTCTCTACATTATCTAAGATGTAATGAAACTCTGTTTATATGTATATAACCTTCTTCTCTGAAGCTTTTTTAACACATGCATTTTAACAGCAAAGAACTGCTGCAAGTCTCATGACTTGGAAAGATGAAAAATATCCCAAGCTGTATACGTTGTCATTGTATTTTCAAAGCAAGTACATTTTTTGTGAAAATGTCTCTTGCCAGGATAACGTTGCTGCCATCCCTTGCACTATTGAATGTACTTCCCAAATCAGGTAATGACAGGTGATAACCTGAATACCCATTGCCTAATGACATCTTCTGGGCTTTTCTTTACATCGGCAAGATTACCTGCAATCTTTTATAAAGTACTGTGAAGAAGAACTGGATGCTTTTCAGTATCACATTTTTCAGCTATGCTCTTCATTGTAAAATTGAAGGTTTAGAAATAAAACCCATTGTAAAAATGAGGGTTTAGGAAAAGGTGCAGGTGATTGATACAATTTTTACCTCTTTATATAGCTATGTCAACTACAAACTTACCCATGGCAGGGGGGTTGGAACTAGATGATCTTTGAGGTCCCTTCCAACCCTAACCATTCTATGATTCTATGAAACCTATGCAAGTGGAAAAAAAAAAAAGTTGCTTCTAATTTAGAAATAACTTCAAGCTGGTATCCCTAGTGTTATTTCTAGTTTTTGATAGCTTCTAAAGCATCATTGAAAATCATTAACAAGTGAGATGTTTCATGAATGTCTTTCAAAAAGGAAGTACTTAAACTTTGCACAACAGAAACATGTATGAAATACCAGTAGCAACACTTTTTCTCTTACAGCCAAAGTATGAGCTTTCTTTTGTGGAACAATTCGCTATCCATGTTTGCACATTAGAGAATATACAACCTGCTTCAGGAGGAGGTTCTGCTTGGCATATAAATCTCAGCTGATTAAAAATCTGGCAAGGGTTCTGGACAAATTGGAAATACTACCTTTCTGATGAGCTCGTCGTGACCCACACATCTGATCGCTGAAGCGACTTTCTTGCTCATAAAGTGGCAACAAAGGCGATTGTAATGAGTAAACCATTGACTGTGCAAGCTGTTTTTGTGAGATAAAGATCAGTGACCACAACTGAAGAGCATACTGTGGAATAGATACTAATCTTCAAGGCCTACGGTAGATCAATAGCTGTCACCTAATAGAGGTGGATACTAATTTTTAGAAAAGATGAAAAGGCCAAACTAAAAAAAAACATGTTTTGATGTTTCTCACCCCTTGTTTACAGCCCTTACTTAGTATTTTTAGAAATAGCGTATGGATTGGAAAATGGATTTCACTTTTACAACGGAATATAAAATAAGAGGACTGTTTTGCTATTAAGAAACAATGATATCTTTCCAGAAAATGAGAAAAAATTTTGAAAAGCTTAAATGGATTTTGATGAATAGATGGTAACATTAGGAAGAAGTATGGAAATGAGTAAAGCCCATTCTTAAGCCTCAAAGCAGTATAAAACAGAGAAGAAATTCTTAAATGCACATTCTAATTTTCTTCTGCCTTTGAATAATTTATTCTTCTATCTCATGTAATTTTTCTAAGCCAACAGCAACTGTGTTCAGGCCTGTAATGAATTTGCTTTTTCTTAAAGTGTAACTTAGTCACAGTTTTGAAATAAAAAGGTACACGCACATCCAGGGATTTGCAATCCATTCAGGACTCCTAAGGTAGAAGAGCTAAGACTTTGTTGTTAAAAAATGGATTTTGAAGGAGAACGGTTACTGAGAACTGCATTTCCTGAATTTTTTTTGTGACTTCTATTTGAGATTGATTGATAGGTCATCAAAAATGAAAAAAAAAAAAATTATATTAAAAGCTAAAGGGGTTAAACAATATTTTCTTCATATTGTATCTCCGATGAATATCCTCAGGTAGACTATCTTCGAGTTAGCCTGGCAATAAATTACAAGAATATAAAGAAAGCCTGAAATATTAAGGGCATAACTAATATAATAGCAGAGTGCTTGTCACTTCAGCAAGGATTATCTTTTATCATGATGGGAAAAATTGCACTTTGTAAGCATAGCATAGCTTACAAAGACCATTCTTTTCTGCTAAAATTCTCCAACAGGACATGCTGCATAAAAAAAGGGCAAGGTTGTTCATTGCCTGACATACAACCACCATCAGGTTTTTGTCTGTCAATTATTGAACATTTTCACTCATTACTACCAACGGAGTTCCAGTAGACACAGGTGGGTCGAGTCTGCAATTCATGATATTTGATGATGAGCACCGCTTGAGAGTGTCATTGACTGAATAAAACGTTGTCCTCCTCATACGCCAAAGCTGAGTCTTCCATGCTCTCCAGTAAAGTGTGACAGGTTTCGTATTCCCGGTGTGGCAATGATGGTTCTTTGGCAACAGTAGACATCAACTGACTCCAGGTGATATTAGTATTTTTGAAAGCATGCAATAGGAAAATGCCTATGATGATACTGAAGAATCCACTCAGGGTTCCAATGATATCACTCAGGTCCATGCTACTCCACTCCTTGAACAGGATGATGGAGCATGTCACAACTGTCGTGGTGAAACACACGTAATAAATAGGTGTCACTAGAGATGTATTGAATACGTCCAACGCTTTGTTGAGGTAGTTGATCTGAGTGCTGACTGAGAGCACTAAGATGCCCACCAAAACATAAACCAATGGATGTCGATAAACTGGCTTCTGCTCCAGCATTTGTTTAAAGGCAATGCCTAAGCCTTTCACAGATGAGACAGAGAAGGCACCAATAAGTGAGCAAATTAAAATGTAGATCAGTATATTTGTCTGACCTCTCCTTGGAGCCACAATAAAAATCAGCATGAGGGCAACAACTGTTAGGAGAACAGCAAACGTAACAAATGCTGCAAGAAAGAGGAAAGGGGAAAAGAGTTAATGCACATGAGAGAAAACACCACACTATGTCTAAGTACCTGCTAAAAGTTATTCAGTGTCCTGAACACTTCTCTATGAACTGTAGCAGAAGTTCATTGCACTTGCATACAGACCTGGATCTTGCAGCTTTCTTTCCATCTCATCTAGTGAGGTGACCTCCTCCTCCTCAGGGGCATGAATAACCATGACTGTTGACCCTAAAATGCTCAGTACGCAGCCCAGCTTTCCATGAATATTCAGCTTCTCATTTAAAAAATAGGATGACAATATAGCACTGTTTGGCAAAATATAAATAAAAGGTTCAGCTCTACCAGCCATGCAAGACATTCAAAATCTTTGTGTAACATGACAGTAATTCAAAACCTTTTTTGAATTTGGATATATGGGAAACCAACCTGAAACAATCAAATTTTAAGGACTTTTGCAGGAAGATTGGTCAGGACCAAGGTCAGGTCAAGTTTTAGGACGGTTAGTAACCTGATCCCTCTTCTCCAGGTTGTAAAAGAGTCCAAATTGTCAAGGAACTTCTCATTACTCATCAGGGTCAGGGGTATGCACTGGCACACACCTGCGGATTGACCTCATGAGCTGTTATTTTCTTCCAAAAATGGTTTAAAGCACTTAATTTGCCATTAGAATCAATGCACAAAAGTTTTGGAAACTGTTTCTCCATATCCTTCCCTGGAGTCTCCCACTCAGGCAAGTTTCTGCCTTGCTAGGGCTCCCCAAAAAACAGAGAAGGCACATCTGCCCCTTTGAAGAGGACGGACCCCAGGCTCTCCAAGGGGTTCAAGATTTAACCTAAGGATAATAACAAGGCCCAAATGAGGCCACCTCACAGGGCACATGATTAGGCAGCTAGAGCACAACCTTAGGCACAGACACAGGCTTAACAGCATGTGGACGCGCTCACAAATAGTTTCAACCCACTGATCAAATTACAGCTATTTTTTCGCACAAGGGTAACGACCTCACTGACATGAAGTTCTCAGGACCTCCCTGTTTCATGAAAATTGGAAGGATTACTACCCACATCAAAGGAGAGGGTGTTCAAACTCAGGCTGTTTTGAGAAGCAGCAGCCAAACAGCCCGTTAGTCTGCATCTACCTACACGCTGATCCCCGCACATCTGCAGGTGACAGAGTTACATCCTTCTTGCTCTGACAGAACAGCCACATTTTTAGCAGTTACATTACTGCAAGCATCTTTTTGAAAAAAAAAAAAAAAAAAAAAAGCAAATCATGTGGCCAACGTCAGTTTTTCAGTTTTAAACACAATGTTTCATATAGTATACTCAGATCTTAAAAATGAGTTTTACATGTAAAATACAATAATTCCATTTTGCTAATAAATTATTTCCCAGAATGTTTGTTGTAAGCATAAGCCATGTCTTTTCTGCTTCTGTGACAGCCATATTAATTTATGTGCTAAAATACTTGGAAATTATTTGTTTCTTCTTACACAGGAAATAATGAGTGCTTGAAGGGCATGCATATTTCAAAAGAAACAAAATTTTAACTGTGGACAGTAAAAAGGCTAAAATTTCCTTTGCCGCCTTTCCACAAGGACATGGAAAAGGGCAAACAAACCCAAAATGCTTACTAAGTGTGCCTTAGTATGAAAATATTCTCCTATCAAAAAGAAATGGTTTTGAAAACATTTTAATGGGAGAATTCTGTATTTTCTTTAAGTTTTGTCACAACTGAAGAACGGGATAAGACTTAAGAAAGCTTCAGTTCTCTACGAAGAGATGAATTACAGCTTTCTACCACTGTGCATCAGCAGTACACCTGGAATACACTGATAAGAAATACTTTATAATATAGGTGGAAGGTTGTTAGGAAAGCATATATTAGTCTTTGGAACAAGACTTCTCATTCCCTCTACCCAGAAAATTCTGTTCGAAATAAGCACGGGATCTTCCCACCAAGGAACAAAAAGCACTTTTTGTCAGTACATTGCTTTTCATTTTTCTTATTAACATTCTCTACATTCAGTCAAAGACTGTTTATTCCCCACACAGTGAATTTTTCAAAGTTTGCTTCCAGTTTGTACTAACCTTATGAGAACACTCAGTGCACCCAAGGGGGTAACTAGGGTTGCAGGTGCAAAGGCATAGGCAGCAAAGTTTGCAGCTTCTCCTAATCCCACTGCAGAAGAAAGAACATTTGGATCAGGTTGAAGGGAGGAATAAAAGGCATACTATTGTAAATATTTTGTATGATAGCTTTGATAGCAAGTATAAACCACAATCTTTTTTCTACACTACATATAGAACATAGAATCATAGAATGGATTGGGTTGGAAGGGACCTCAAAGATCATCTAGTTCCAGCTCCCCTGCCATGGGCAGGGAAACCCTCCGCTAGATTAGGTTGCTCAAAGCCTCATCCAACCTGGCCTTGAACACTTCCAGGGATGGGGCATCCACAACTTCTCTGGGCAACATGTTTCAGCGCCTCACCATCCTCAGAGTAAAAAATTTCTTCCTTATATCTAATCCAAATCTACCCTCTTTCAGTTTAAAGCCATTGCCCCTTGTCTTATCACTACATGCCCTTGTAAAAAGTCCCTCTCCAGCTTTCCTGTAGGCCCCCTTTAAGTACTGGAAAGCTGCAATAAGATCACCCCAGGGCCTTCTCTTCTCCAGGCTGAACAGCCCCAACTCTCTCAGCCTGTCTTCATAGCAGAGGTGCTCCAGTCCTCGGATCATCTTTGTGGCCCTCCTCTGGACCCGCTCCAGCAGCTCCATGTCCTTCTTATGCTGGGGACTCCAGAGCTGAACGCAGTATTCCAGGTGGGGTCTCACGAGAGCAGAGTAGAGGGACAGAATCACCCCCCTCAACCTGCTGGCCACACTTCTTTTGATACAGCCCAAGACACGGTTGACTTTCTGGGCTGCAAGCACTCATTGCCAGCTCATGTTGAGATTCTCATCCACCAGCACTCCCAAGTCCTTTTCCTCAGGGCTGCTCTCAATCCATTCTCTGCCCAGCCTGTACTTGTGCTTGGGATTGCCCGACCCACGTGCAGGACCTTGCACTTGGCCTTGTTGAACTTCATGAGGTTCACACAGGCCCACCTCTCCAGCCTGTCAAGGTCCCTCTGGATGGCATCCCTTCCCTCCAGCATGTCCACAACATCACACAACTTGGTGTCATCAGCAAACTTGCCCAGGGTGCACTCAATCCCACTGTCCATGTCGCCAACAAAGATGTTAAATAGCACTGGCCCCAGTACTGACCCCTGAGGAACACCACTCGTCACTGGCCTCCACTTGGACATTGAACCGTTGACCACAACTCTTTCAGTGCGACCATCCAGCCAATTCCTTATCCACTGAGTGGTCCATCCATCAAATCCATGTCTTTCCAGTTTAGAGACAAGGATGTCGTGTGGGACAGTATCAAATGCTTTGGACAAGTCCAGGTAGATGATGTCAGTTGCTCTTCCCTTATCCACCAATGGTGTAACCTCATCACAGAAGGCCACCAAATGAGTCAGGCAGGATTTGCCCTTAGTGAAGCCATGTTGGCTGTCACCAATCACCTCCTTATTTTCTATGTGCCTTTGCATAGTCGCCAGGAAGATCTGCTCCATGATCTTGCCGGGCACAGAGGTGAGACTGACTGGCCTGTAGTTCCCTGAGCCTTCTTTTTTTCCCTTTTTAAAGATGGGGGCTATATTTCCCCTTTTCCAGACAGTGGGAACTGCACCAGACTGCCACGACTTCTCAAATATGATGGATAGCAGTATCAACTTCATCCGCCAGTTCCCTCAGGACCTGTGGATGCCCCTCATCAGGTCCCATGGACTTGTGCACCTTCAGGTTCTTTAGATGGTCTCGAACCTGATCTTCACCTACAGTGGGCAGTTCTTCACTCTCCCAGTCCCTATCTTTGCAAATTTTCCTTTCAAAATTCTCTAACCTCCTCTGGGCATAATAAAAGCTGAAGAAAGTTAAACACTTTTTCCCTAAGTACTTCTAGAAGCTGGACAGATTCAATCCCATCGCTTTTGACTGGATATTAAAGAAAAGGTTGTTAATCTGCAAAGAGCTCCAAAGAACAAACACAATATTTGAAAGATGGGATATCAGAATGGCTGCTGCCAAAAAGGTGGTTGCAAAGACACTTCATTTAAGTGAGGGGAGTGAAAAATCAGGGAATAAATCTATTTAAAACAATCTGCTGTATGTAGCATTTACCTGCAGGTTGAGAGGAAAGAGGCGACTTACTTGATAGCAATCCAGCCCACCAAAGCCATTCCTTCAAATAAGAATATCCACCTTGTCCTGAAAGCAGAAAAAAAATCTCATTTTATTATAACAAACAAAACTACAGCTTCACATTTGCCTCTAGTCATATAAAGTACTGAAAGAGCATGTTATCTGGATGTGACACAAAGAAAATTTAATTTGATTTTGACTGACATTTTTATTAATCACTACTTCTTGGACTTCTGAAAAATACTATTTGACTAAAGGGAAAGTTCCAAGCAAAAGTAAAATGCCCATGAAGATTGTTGGTGAGCTTAAGAAATGCTTCAGAGTGTTTTCCCAGATCAGATCCAATATATTCATACACAGTCAGCCGCATTTTGATTCTTCTTATACCTTATGAGATAAATTAGAAAGTGCCACTGCACACTTTTATTTTTTTTTTACTTAAAACTTAAGTATACTGAACATTCAGTAACTCCTTTTTTTCCAAATAATCGAATTATCTGGAAGAGTATATTGCGAGAAACACAACAAACAAAAGAAAAACTGCTAGTGTGATATATTTAAATCCATGCAAAGGGAATTAAGAGATTAATCCAATGGGTTTTTTAAAAGCTTTCCACATTTTTCTAGCTCTTCATCTGTCGACTTTGATAAAAGAATAGTTGTACTAACTATTGGTAGAAACTATAGAAACTATGTACTAACTAAAGGTAGAAACCTTTGTAATAAGTATCCTTTCTACAGCTCATTGCACTTCCTTTTTTTAAAAAGAACTAAACCTAGTTCTATGATTCTATGATTCTAGTTAGTGTCTTAAGATCTGCCATCTCAAACGAGAGGAATAAAAGATGAGGGAAAAAAAAAGACAGAAGGGCATTTTGAAGGATAAGACAAAGGGACAATTTTGTTTGGTATCTAACTGCTGTCAGAGAGGAAATATCACCAACTCACTAGATTTTAATACCGACCGCTGCCACTACAGTCCTAAGAATTCTGAAATCTCAGTCCCTGTAATCACACTGTATTTCCATCCCTAGCCAAGACAGGACTTCTGATCACCATTAAAGTACGATGGTTTTCAACAATGACAGTTTTAAATGTGTGATCTGTGACTCAAGCCTTGATTTTGCAAAGTTGTAACAGAGGCGTTTGTGTGCCCAGCAGGAGCTTACCAGCTCGGGGAACTCCTTTGTCTGCCAGTTTCAAAAGTCCTTTCTTCTTTAGTATGAAACTAGAACCAATAAAGATACTGGAACCTATCGCCAAAGCCAAGCCAATGTAGAGGCGATATCTGCTTCCAGAAGGTGTGGAAATGCTCTGGTTTGTTTCAATGAGAGTCCCATCCATAGAGGTGAGGAGAGAAGAGCGGGATTCAGACACGTTGATGATCTGGCACCATGCTTGGCAGGAGTCATGGCAAGCAAAAGAGAGCACAGCACCTGGGAGGAGAAAAAGGAGGAAAAGTGATTCATGAACGAGGCACAGTTCTGAAGGAGCCCCATCCTGGCTCTGCTCACTCCTTTCCGCATCTTCCCAGAGCACTTGTCCTTGCTGACTGTGCAAATAACTCACAAAACCCACATAACATACACAACTCTGCCCCAGCTCACTACCCACCCCTGTAATTCATAGGTTCATGCCTTATTTTATATATAGCTTTTGCACGACATTGGCTCAGTCAAGCAATTAGGGAAATACCAAGGAATGCAACACTAAAATATTATCTTCAATGCAAAATTCAACTTGAAACCATAAAAGCTAACCTAAAATCTCAAGAAGAAAGGGTTCTTTTGCGTTATGCAGAGACCCAATCCCCAAAACACAAACATATAGCCAAATCCATGATTTCAGACTTTGCCGGCTAGGGTAAGCCTGCTGTTATTCCAGGCTTCTGCTTTTACATTTGTAGCTGAGATTTGGAAACAATAAATAAAAAAGAGAAGGGAAAAAAATCTGTATAGGGAGCAAACCCTTGCTGCATAGGGGTAATAATACGTTTTATTAAAGTCGTTCAGTGACTACCGTGTGAGCCAGATCTTCTTTAACCAATCATAAAATTTTGAGGTGGAGGCCTTATTATAACTCACAGTAATTTTCGTCTAACCTCAACAGTCCCTAGCTGGAGAAAGGCCACAGCCTGCAAGGGACAGTGCTCTTGGCTATCCCTGCAACACAGCTGCAGAGCCGGGTGATTCTGAGCTGAGACTGAAGCTTCGCGCTCTCCACCAGCTGAGCCTTATCAGCATCACTACGATGACAGCCTGTGGGAATGACATCATTGCCATCAGCCTAGACCTGTTTTTTTAAAGGAAGGAGAGGTATTGCATTTCCAAGAACAAAGAGAGTCATTATTTCGCGTGGGGAAGCAGAGTACAGGCAGCAATGCTGCAACAGGGCTTATAGTAGTCTAGGCAGATGTTTCACAGTTTCTCCCGGGAGACTGCAGCACACAAACAGCGTGGTTCAGAGAATTTAGGCTGGAATAGCTTTTAAGGATAGACTTTTTGGAAAGAAAGGTTTTATTGCAAACACATGTTAAAATATGAAACATCAGAAGCAGAAGTACGAAAGTTCAGTCCATTGTGATTCACACAAAGCACTGGATGCAACAAATAATTTTGCTTTCCATGTTTCCCCTGTAATTAAAATGACACACAAAGGATTCATCCTGCTGAGTGGCACCATCAGTAATACACTCACTTTTTTTTTCAACTGAAAAAACCACTTGGAGACTTGATAGAAAAGTATGTGCCTGTGTGTTTGTTCATAACTAAACTCTGGAAATATTAATGTTCTGTCCAAAGTACATCACTGCACAGTTAACAATAAGCAACTTTGGATAATTCACCTAATACTGTTTAGGAAGCAATATTTAGAACAGCAAAAGTATTAAAAACAGTATGAAATTTGACCACAGATCTTCATTTGCAGCTGACAATGCTGATACCAACATTGGGAGATACTGTCTTTTACAAGTAAGGAACTGAGAACGAATACCTGCCCCAAGTTGTCCCGTGCCATACTGCACAACAAACACACCACAGTAAGCGGTCATTAGATTTTCGGGCTGTGCAATCACATTTCCTTGTTTGCCAAGAGAGTTTCTATACAATAGGAGTTGTTTTGTATTGCCAAGCCAGACTTCATAAAAACAGTCCCACAAGATGGCTATGTCCATATTCAGCAGCTGAAGATTACAATCTTAAAGAATTTACAACTACATGAAACTACTTTTGCATAGCGTGTAGGACAGACAGTATTCTGCCATCTTATCATTACTAGAAGCTGCAGCTGGATAATGTAAAATAAACGGGCTTTGTATCTTAAAGCATTTTAAAATCCTAAAGTGTTAGAAGAAGAAAATTTTCCATATACTTAAGTTTTGACATAATTATTAAAGATTAAATTACAAAAGAAAGTTATAGAGAAGTCCTTTAAGGATATACCTTTCTCTTAGCCAACAGACATCAGGGCAAGGCAAAAAAGCGGAGAGGTTGCCAGTGAATGAAATCCCTTAGCTCTCAATACCTTACAATGATGCTAAAACTGCACTGGCGATGGTTGTACCACCACCACTCAGCTACTACAAGGCTTTATGTGAGAAGTAGCAACAGTTCTTGCCTTTAACTAAAAGAAAGCATCGAGACAAATATAAGTACAGTCTTTTAGCTACCTGCAATGGTAAAGGCAGCTTTCTATCAGTGTGCCTGGTTTCTAAAGTGAAGAAAACAACACTCTTCTTCCTCTTTTTATGCATGGTGTACTTTCATTTAGCTGGAAATGAACGGCAGGCCTATTGCCTTCCTAGTAGTACATGACACTACTACTGCTTTTTCTTCTGATTCTTAAGTTTTCTGTTCCCCAGCAGGCTTCACGACATCCAATAATGAAAATTTAATCACACCATCTGTAGTGAGTCACTCAGCGACTGCCACAGGATGCTTCTCTCATTTCTGAGATACAATCTTTGCTCACATTTACAAAGAGACGTTGGATTTTTCGCCTGTTCTGTCCACCAGCTGAGAAGAGTAATTTTGAATGGTTGTGATCTCTGTTTATTGTGCTGAGCAGCTTTTTCTAGTTTTAAAAGACGTGTCATTTGTTCCACTTGCTTGTAAAGTGGTATGTCACTCCATCGATCAAAGAACCACCTGAGAGCTGGGAAGAGGAGGCCGATCCAGGAATTACTATTACTTTATCCCCCACTGTGACCTGTGTAAAGATTACCTGGAAGGCCTGAGGAAGGTGACAAATCTCTGAGGCTGCCTGGCTTGCTCAGCACCTGGTTTCTGTAGCTAGGCTAGTTTCACCTCCCACTTCCAAATGTCAACAAACACGAATCTGTCAGCAGAACCCCTCCTTGCAGAAACAAACTCTCCAAGCTCTGACTCAAGGCTGATAGCAACAGGAAACCAGTCTGAGTTCAGGCGGCGACTGTTGTAACTTCTAAAGTGTTTTTACAATTTAGCTAAATCCGAAAATGTTTCTTCAAACACCTAAACACTATCTCAGTCGGCTAGATCAGCCAGCCTGGTACTGCACACTCCTTGTAGCAATTTTAACTCGCAATCCTGCAAAAGCCTAGGACTAGCTTACCCTGCGGTTCGCTAGCGGCAGCCAGCTCAGCTTTTATCCTGCCACTGAAGATACCGATCCCAACTCATCCGGAAAACTGTTTGCTTTGATTAGACACGTAATTTGACAATTTTTATTGCGCTCACGAGTCAGCTCGCATCTGGCAGGGACAAGAAATGCCTTTCTCAGTCACCAGGGAAACACCAAGCCCGCTTTTGCCCAGGCCTGGCTACTGGGGCCGAAAGCGGAGGCATCGAGAAGCAGTAAGGATTCGTACCCCCGCACACCCCCATCCAC